ATATAGAAATGGAATATATAAATAAAATCACACAAATATATATATATATATATATATATATATATATATATATATATATATATATATACGAAAAGAAAAAAACTATGCATTTTATTTGTTAATGGAATTTTTGTGATTTTATATGGTTTCTTATGTGATGGCAAGTCAAAATCACAAGCTCCTATTACTTCCTGCTTCTGTACCACATTTATCCTAAAATAACACCTTTTAATCACTCACTGACAGACATGGAACACACACAAACACACACACTCACTCACTCTCTTCACAGCCATCAGTGTCAGAGACCCCCAACTCCCTTGACTGCTTAATAATGTAAAGACTTAAGCTTCAGAGTAATACCAGTGGTCTGTGGGTGGAGTGTAAAGTGTAAAGCTTTTTCTCAAGAAAAAAACACATGCTAGTATCCTAGCCATTATACATGTTATATTTTAGAAGGTGATCTTTTTTTTATATATATAGATTAAGTTGAGTTTACGTGCTGTTAGGTTGGTATAGCGACTGGCTGGTAAAATAGCACACTCTTTGTTGTGAAGCTGGATGACTATGGAATAATTTTTGTTTCTTTATTATTCAATCAAACATTATGTGTTTGAGAGTAAAACTAATTATTTTGTAATTAAAAAATAAAAGATTGCAAAAGAAAAAAGTCTTCTTAAGGCTCAAAAATAAAGAAATTGATAACAAAAATTTTTTGCAGTGCGTATAAATCTTTGAAAAGCTTTATTTTTCTTTGTGCACTTCAAACACTTTTCATCGCGATACCACAAATGTGACTCTTTTCTGCCGTCTTTTTTTGCGGGTCTAAAACTTTTGTTTGCAAGTTGAAAAGTTTTGCTTGCAAGTGAAGCTGTCTCTCAGTGGGCGGTCTCTACCCACCAGGATGAAAGGCCTTTTTCTATTGGTCACTCTCGATTGAAGTCACAGGTTGACCACGCCCACTACGTTTCCCCAGAATCCCCGCCACTGCCACCGCAGTCTGACAGAAGAGTGAGCGAGGTTGTATCATGGCGAGCAACAGGTCGTTTACTGGGTAAGATAACTAACTTAACATCTTAAACACAGTGACAAGTTAACTTAATTATTATCTCCTCTCATGCTCTCCCATCTAAATACATAACGTTAACTAAGCCCATTGTAGATTTGATTAGCCAACAGTATAGCTAGCTGCCAGAGCCCCCAATAGTAAAGCGTCAGGCCAATATTTTCAGAGATTATAGATTATTATAGCTCCAGTGAAGTAAGATGAGTAACACATATCAAATCACTAGCCCATTTGGTGGGTTATGATTCATAAATTATGACCACATGAACATTTGCGGCACCCAACAGCTGTAGTTTGCCATTCAAAGTACGATTTGGGACCGATGTCTGTACATTCCGACATCACCCTAGTCTACAAGACTGTGTATTGTGTATTTTAATAACAGGTTTGTTTTGTACTATCTAAGACCTATGCAATGACAATGGCAAAACTTGTTACTTCAATAGTAAGGATTGATATTCAGGACTTGTCAGCCAGTACCACTGTAACCTTGCAGAGACTTTGCTTTGAAGTCAGAATTTTAATTAACTATGTTCCACATTTCAATATGCCCCTGACTTCTAAGGGGTGTTTTTATTTGTGACTACTCCAAACAGCCAAGAATTCTATCAGTAGAACATCACATTTTTCTTTTCTGTTTGCAGGAAGATTTGGTGTTGATGGAGGAGGCAACATCTTCAAGGCAAAACCTTAAGACCTCATTCAACATCATCCAATGTTGCAATCACCCTCAGGAGGTACACAAGCAAAAGCCAAATTGAACATTGTCAATTATTGTCAATTCCTATTTTACAAAATTTGCCCTGCATACATTTTTGTCTTTAATGTATAGGCACTTGAAGACCAGTGTCCAATATGCACAGGAACATTTCCAGTGTCAGAAGTAGAACTGCCATGCCAGCTTTTGTGGAGAAAGGTAATGGTAACAGTGACTCACATTGAAGCTTAAAAACACCTAAAAGATGCTCTGATTTGGATCATATCTCATGGTAACCTACCTGACTATGTTCATTGCATTGGTTCAAAACAGTACATTGCAAAGGTCATAAAAAGATCATACGAAATATATATATACATATATACACACACAAAGTTGTTTGGAAACATTACATTTTTTTTTAGTTTTTTGACATAAGTCTCTTCTGCTTATCAAAGCTGCATTAATTTGATCAAATATACAGTAAAAACAGTATTATTGTGAAATATTATTTGTAGCACTATTCTCTTTTCCACCACCAATGTCACAACCATCACAACTACAAATGTTACCCCTCTTAAACCTTGACTTAAAAACAAGAGGTCGTAACTGCTCAAGAAACATGTATTATTGTCAATGTTGAAAAAATATTTTTTTTGTCCTTACTGTCACTTTTGATCAATTTAATGCATCCTTGCTGAATAAAAGTATTAATTTATTTAATTTCTTTCCCCAAAAAAAAGTCTTACTGACCCCAGACTTTTGAATAATAGTGTATATTATTACAAAATGTTTATATTTCAGATAAATGCTGTTTGTTTGAACTTTCTATTCATCAAAGAATCCTGAAAAAAAAAATGTACACAACGGTTTTCAACATCGATAATAATGTTTGTTGAGAAAAAAAATAAGCATATTGTTGTGACACTTAAGACTGGAGGAATGATGCTGAAAAATGTTGCTTTATTGTTTTTATATACATATAATTTTATTTATTTTTACAGTGAGTAAATGTAAATGTGAGTAAAAACTATTCGTCATGCAGCAGCACAGACAAACACCACAAAGACATCTGAAATCTGTCACGAGATAACATGTCTAAAGTTGTGGAAACGTCAAAAAACAGGAAGCCCTGTCAATCCCTTTGAAATCACCTTCCTTGGAGAGTCTGTCAAAATAAATAAATACAATTATATGTATATAAAGCTTAAAACAATAAAGCAAAATGTTTAGCATTGTTACTCCATTCTTAAGTGTCCCCTTTAGATGTTTTTTAAGCTTTTTTTTTTTAGGTGTTTTTAAGCTTCAATGTGAGTCACTGTTACCATTACCTTTCTCCACAAAAGCTGGCATGGCAGTTCTACTTCTGACACTGGAAATGTTCCTGTGCATATTGGACACTGGTCTTCAAAGAAAACTTTGAATGGCAAACTACAGCTGTTGGGTGCCGCGAATGTTCATGTGGTCATATTTTATGAATCATAACCCGCCAAATGGGCTAGTGATTTGATGTGTGTTACTCACCTTACTTCACTGGAGCTATAATAATCTATAATCTCTGAAAATATTGGCCTGACGCTTTACTATTGGGGGCTCTGGCAGCTAGCTATACTGTTGGCTAATCAAATCTACAACGGGCTTAGCTAACGTTACGTATTTAGATGGGAGAGCATGAGAGGAGATAATAATTAAGTTCACTTGTCACTGTGTTTAAGATGTTAAGTTAGTTATTATACCCAGTAAACGACCTGTTGCTCGCTCTTCTCTCAGACTGCGGTGGCAGTGGCAGGGATTCCGGGGAAACGTAGTGGGCGTGGTCAACCTGTGATTTCAATCGAGAGTGACCAATAGTAAAAGGCCTTTCATCCTGGTGGGTAGAGACCGCCCACTGAGAGACAGCTTCACTCGCAAGCAAAACTTTTCAACTTGCAAACAAAAGTTTTAGATCCGCAAAAAAAGACGGCAGAAAAGAGTCACATTTGTGGTATCGCGATGAAAAGTGTTTGAAGTGCACAAAGAAAATTAAAGATTTTCAAAGATTTATACGCACTGCAAAAAATGTTGTTATAAATTTCTTTATTTTTGAGCCTTAAGAAGACTTTTTTTTGCAATCTTTTATTTTTTAATTACAAAATAATTAGTTTTACTCTCAAACACAATGTTTGATTGAATAATAAAGAAACAAAAATGATTCCATAGAGATGACTAGAGATCTAGCTGGTTAAGCCAGACAGAAGCATCCAAAAACAAAACAAAAGCCTGTGAGCAGCTACTGTATGCTAGTGTTTTAGCAGGCTGTTCATAAAATCTTAACATTTCATTTGAGTTTTTATAATGAATGTACATTTTTATTTTAATAATTTTGTGGACAATGTGGGGGCCTCGGAGTAAGGTCTAGTTTCAAGCAGGTAATGTTATTTTTTTACTTACACATTTTCTTAAATTATATTAAAAGTAAAAGGTGTGAGTATGTTTGTGGTAGAATGTGTGGACAGAGCCAGAAAGAGAGCACAAGAGAAAGAATGGTGGGTGTAGGTTCATTTAAAAAGGAGGACTTGCTGTGATGGTAAAGATCTAATACATATTTCATGCAGGGTCGGGAAACTTCCGCAGGATAAGTCCTCCACACCTTTCCCACGTAGTTCTCCCATCACAACACCACAGGGTTCTAATTGTGACAATATGTGCATATAGGCCAATTAGAGTATAAGCATTCAACAATTGCCTGAAGCCTGACGCTCAATAGAGGTAAACAGAGCTTATTTTGTTAATTCCTCTGGTTTTTTTTTATGTGTGTGTGTGTGTGTGTGTAATTTTATGTTATAACAAGAACAATTTGTTACATTGTTAATTGACTATTTTCCAAATGATAGTGGAATAAAATGGGGGATTTTTCAAGGATATAGGTTAAGGTGATCTTGGGTGCATTCGTTCTTTAAGTCATTTACATGGGTGAGCGCAGCCACTGAACAATACAAAAGGACATCCTTTGTAGTGTTACGATGGTATTATGATGCCTTAGTCAGTAATTTTTAAATAAATAAATGCTTAATAGCTGTTGGCTATTTGGTCACTTTTCTTCTGGTCAGACTGGGAGAGTGTTAAAACTAGCTAAAACCATATGCTAGGCTGGATTAAGCAGTTTTTAAGGTAAATAATAATAATAATTATATACATATATATATATATATATAATATATATATATATATATATATGAATAGACATAATAATAAAAACAAGATTACGTCTTTTTTTTGTTATACCTCAAGTCTATCTATAATTGATTAGAATTTGGGGGAGGAGAGGAAAAGATCAATTGCTTTGAATTTTGATTTACAGCGCATGTACAGCCAGCACCAATCGCACTCCAAGACGTCATTATTAGTTGCCTCGGCTAAAACCTGTTCGTCATATATGTATGACAGTACAGAAAATTATGTAGAGCTTGTGGTGACATTGGAACAGTTGAGCATATTTTATTACAGTGTAGACTCAACTCTGGGACTCAACTCAAGAGAAGAGCAGGGACATGGAGGAGGAGGAGGAGGTGAAAGAGGCAAACATCCACCCCATTTGAAGGGTCGAGAAATAGGACTGTGGTATGCCAAATGGGGTGGAATCAAAAGATCCGAGGCAGAGAGGAAATCTGTTAGTAGGAGGCGGTTGCAAAGATGATTGATTATTTTTTAAGCATTATAGTTGAATTACAGTACTCGGTAAGGTGTTCTGTAATATTGCTATAAGAAAAATAAGTCAGTGGCTGGTATAATAAGATATGTGTAATCAGTGTTGGGGAAAGTTACTTTTAAAAGTAATGCATTACAATATTGCGTTACTCCATAAAAAAAGTAACTAATTACGTTACTTAATTACTTTTTATGGAAAGTAATGCGTTACTTTACTAGTTACTTGAAAAAATTAATCTGATTACGTAACTTGCGTTACTTATTTGAAAAAGTAACTCAGATATTCTCTTGTAAATTAAAAAGTAATGCGTTACTTTACTAGTTACTTGAAAAAATTAATCTGATTACGTAACTTGCGTTACTTATTTGAAAAAGTAACTCAGATATTCTCTTGTAAATTAAAAAGTAATGCGTTACTTTACTAGTTACTTGAAAAAATTAATCTGATTACGTAACTTGCGTTACTTATTTGAAAAAGTAACTCAGATATTCTCTTGTAAATTAAAAAGTAATGCGTTACTTTACTAGTTACTTGAAAAAATTAATCTGATTACGTAACTTGCGTTACTTGTAATATATTACCCCCAACACTGTGTGTAATGCATATCAATAGCAAATAAGATGGACACAGTTCTGAATTAAACATAATAATAATAATTAAGGCATGCATTTACCTTTGAGATTAACATTACAGAAGGAGGACGTGTATACTGTAACATTGGTCAGTTTTGTAAGAAATTCATGCTTGAGCACAGTTCCTGTTTGTCTACAAAACAAATTTCAGGTGTCTAAGCAAAAGCCTATTAATCAAAGGATTTTTAAGATCATGAGAAAGTCTGAGAATGGTGTCATTTCAGAGGGCTGTTGTTCAGATGGATGAACAAGAGCAGCACATTACTTGGCTGCTAAACTCTGTCCAGAGTAGGGCTGTCAAAAAAAAACTATTCGAATTTTGAATATTCGTCGAATTAAAAAAAATAAACAAAAATCCACATTCCAATGCAAAAACGTTGCATTCGAATTTAAGGTCTGCGTCAGCCGTCAGGCAGCCTTATCAGTGGCACATGAGATGCGATGACGCTGTATGTGTCATTGATTGCATTTTAATGCTTTTGTTAGCCTATTCAGTTGAACCCACTAGATGCGGCCCTGCTACGTTGTTCATTCATATATTGCGGAAAACGAGAGCATTAGTTTACGTCTAAACTGAAACGAAGCCGTTCACACAGAACGCATATTTATCACATTTTCTAGAGGGACATCTATCAGCATTGCACTCGCGTCTCGCAGAGAGCGGCATGTTTAGAAAGCCATGTAAAATTAACTCAAGTTCAACTTTTAAAAAACTTGTCTAAAGACATTATGGTGTTTTTTCCCCATCCCACTGTATCTCATGTTTTTAAATGAAGAAAGTAGCCTACTCTTTGTGATTGTTTTTTTTCATGGTGCTGTTTTTTTTCTTCTAATTGTTTAAGCAACTTTATTAATTATATATGGTTTATAAACATTATTTTAGACATTATGCACTTTTTTTCAAAGATAGTCGTGTTATTTTATTACGCTTTGAAGAAAAGTGCATAATATTTTGCTGGATGCGCCCTCTTGTGGCCTCAGGCGAGAAGCCAAAAGCTTTTTTCCCCCTAACTGAAATTATGCCTTTTAAATTCGCATATAATTCGAATTTTGATCATATTTAAGTAGAAAATTCGAATTTAGTGTTTCAGTCATTTTGACAGCCCTAGTCCAGAGAGACACAGGCAGAGATGCTCACCCCTCTACATCTCAGAGCTGGAGGGTGAAGGAGGAGCCCAGTGGCCACAGGTGCAAATGCAATATTGTATAATTATTAGGGCTCACATAGTCATGGAAATCATATCAAAGAATTATAAAATTGTGTTTTCCAGACTTAACAGAATTGTGTCTGCCTTCCAGTTACTTTGATGGAGATGATCCTCCAGAACCTCAGAACATTGTAAAAGTGCCAAAAATTGAGCCTAAAGAGGAGAAACGGGAGAATGAGGATGAGTCAGGAGCAAGTGTAAAAGAGGAACTTAATGAGACTGACCTGGAGTACTTATTCCAAGATGTTGGGCGGATACCCTCCCTGGATGAGGAGGTCAAGAAAGATCAGAAGAAGAAAAACGATAATGCTAGATACCTTGATATGCTGGTGAGACAGACTGAAACATATTTCACTAAGTCTTAACACTTTTGTTTACGACAGCTTTATTGTGGCATTTCCTTTTTCAGAAATTCAGAGAGAAGCTGCCTTCCTATGGGATGAGAGAGGTAAATGTCACACTTTGTGATTGCTGCTTCTGCATATACAGTGTCTGTATGTGTATGGATGGTATGTTTTAACCTCTTTGAGTCTTTAGTTTTAATGTGTAAAAGCAGTTAGCTATCACCCATTGGAAGTTACAGTTTTTAGTTGATGCCCCTTTCTGTCTTTGACTTACTGTAGGAGCTGGTTAGGCTAATCAGTGCTAACCAGGTACTGGTAATCAGTGGAGAGACTGGCTGTGGGAAGACCACCCAGGTTACTCAATTAATCCTTGATGACTTCATTGAGAGGGGCATGGGCTCTCTCTGCAGGGTGGTTTGCACACAGCCAAGGCGTATCAGTGCCATATCTGTAAGTACAAGATGCTGTCTGCATTTATTTGATCACAAATACAGTTAAAACAGTAATATTGTGAGTTATTTTTAGAATTTAAAATAACTGTTTTCTGTTTTAATATATTTCAGAATGTAATTTATTCCTGCTGATTTGGAAACATTTCTTATTATTGTCAATGTTGAATCACATTGTGCTGATTTATATTTTTGTGGAAATCATGATACATTTTTTTAGATTCTTTGGTTAATATAATGCTCAAAGGAACAGCATTTATTTAAAATAAAGTTATTTTGGCCTCTTTTTCTTCATTCTCCTTGATTAGACCAAAACATAGAGTAAAAAGTGGCACAGCTTATGCCACTCTTCCTACAATAATTTGTAGAGTATCTGTTTTTTTTTTGTTTTTTTTTAAACAATGTAAGGTTAAGAGTATGTACTTTGCTTAGGTTGCAGAACGGGCAGAGTCTGTGGGAGAGGGGAAGTCCTGCGGGTATCAGATCCGTCTGCAGAGGTGAGTGAATCAGATCTGTAGGTCATTCTTAAAGGGATCATCGGATGCCCATTTTCCACAAGTTGATATGATTCTTTAGGGTCTTAATGAAAAGTCTATAACATACTTTGGTTAACATTTCTCAATGGTAGTGTAAAACAACACCCTTTTTACCTCTGTTCACAGCGACTTGTTTCGGTGCATGTCCCTTTAAATGCTAATGAGCTCTGCTCTCCCCGCCCCCCTCTCCCATCGGGTGATGAGCCGTTCTCATGAGACTGTAAACTTTAGCCTCATTTAGCCGAGGAACTTGCTAACTAGCACATTATTAGGAAAGGCGATTTGCAAAGATTCATAAAAAACCTTATACTCACTTCTTCTGTAGGTGAAGCTGGATCACAAATGTTTTGCGCGAACATCGACGCATTTAGGTAGATCGGACGTAATCCACTGCGTCTTCAGTGGCTCAGATGTCGGGAGTAAATTATGACTGCTATGTTCATTATTACATCCAACAACAAAACATCTCAATCGCTTAGGAGACATTCTTGTCTACACCTGCTCCAGGGTCAAACAATGGCTGACTGTCTACAGCTCACTCAGGTCTAAGGTAAAGCACCAGTGTCAATCAACAATCGTGGGAGCTGCCTTGGTATGTGTGACGTCACACAGCCAAGCATCTGAGAACGGCTTGATTTGAGAAAGGGGTTATGATTTTGGGGGATTAAAAAAAAAAAACCGCTGGGTGGATTTTTATCATTATGGGCTGTTTGTGTACACACACTGCCAAAACACAAATTTCAGTTCAAACAACATGTAAAAGTTAATTTTGTATCCGATGACCCCTTTAATCTTGTAATCACCATCCTGGTTCTAAGGAAGCTATTATTTTATTGCCAGGTTCTGAAGTGGAAAGATTCTTTCCTTAAAGGAGACCTATTATGCCCCTTTTTACAATATATAATATAAGTCTAAGGTGTCCCCAGAATGTGTCTGTGAAGATTCAGCTCAAAATACCGCACAGATAATTTATAACATTTTGAAAATGCCTATTTTGAGTGGAAGCAGAAACACCATGTTGTTTTATTAAATGCAAATTAGCTGCTGCTCCCCGCCCCCTTTTCCAGATTTAGGGCTGTGCTTTTACAGTTCGTGCCTTAGATATTCTGCCAAAAACCATCTGTTTGGTTTTCTGAGAGCACACATCTGAAGCACGCACACCGAAAGCAGCTGTCACACGTCATGTGAGTACTAAACTAAACTCTTTCATGTCTTATTGTGATTAAACTGTCAAATACACGCAAGTTTATGTTAAAAACAGACGAGTTACAAAAACAGTCAGTTATATCTGTGAAGGTAAACAGCTGGGAAAGAAATCGCACACTGTAAAAAATGATCGTGATTTTAACAGTAAAAGACTGTAGAAATGCCACAGTAAAAACCTGTTAAATGATTAACAGTAAGTTTCCTTACTATATATGGTGAATAACTGTAATAGATCTAACCTTTGTTTTCGAGAAAGTAGCCTCAGATTCGACACACAAAGACTGTGTCTGAAATCACACCCTACACCCTCATTCACTATTCCCTACATGAGTTTACTAATATAGTCCACCTGACAGAGAGAATGAAAACTAATGAGTGAATTCAGCCAACGATGAACAGCTGCTGTTAACAAGCAGAATCACTGAAGAAAAGAGCAAGAAATGAAACTGACTTCAGCCACAGCCTGAAATTACTCAAATAAAAAGCAGAGGAGGATTACACAACTCCACAAACAGCATTACCAGCTTCACTTATTACTAACCAGTTTGACTTTATTTCTGTCATATATCTACAAAACATTTTTGAGAATTAACCGAGGTTTATATTGTATTGAAAATGTTTTGTTTGGCCTCACCATTTTGGCGATCAGTGGTTGCTTTAGTTGGGCTCCTGACCCTTGACTCTTTAATGTTAGTTTTTCTCAGCTGTTGTAAATGTGTATTTGAAGCACATTTATTATGACAAGAAGAGCCGAAAGAAATTGTAATGAAGTGGTTTTAATAACTATTAATGATGATGTAATGATCGTTTAATTTTTCAAGACCTGATTCATGATCTCATTTTGTGTCTAATTATATGGGTAAATTAGTCTTTTGTTTATGATACTAATATGACTCTACAAGATAAATTGACAAACTATTGTGAAGGAATTTAAAAACTTTTTATGCGCTTAATCTTTAGAGCTACGGTAGCTTTTAGACACACACAGACATCAAGAATCAGCACATGAATCTCAACAATGGTGACTATTAATACAAAAAAAATAAAAAATCTGGGTGCCAGTACAAAACTCCCAGCATGCATTGCAGAATGATTTTTTTTTTTTTTTTATTGTCACCAATGTTGAGATTGGTGAATGTTGGCTGAATGTTGATGTCTGTGTGTGTTTAAGTGCTGCCATAGTTTAAAACTTACAGCTGTTTAAAACAGCTCCAGTCAAGACTGCAAAGCCCTGCAGAGAGTTGTGCGCTTAGCTGAGCACATCTCAGGGTCTGCTCTCCCCTGCAAAATGTCCCTACAGGACATCTTCCTCAAATGCTGCAAAAGCAGAGCTGTTAAAATCATCAATGACTCCAACCACCCTGATAACTGTCTTTTCATTTTGCTGCCATCTGGTAAGCGCTTCCGTAGCCTGATGGCAAGAACCGAGAGACTTAGAAGGAGCTTCTTCCCCCAGGCCATCAGGCTCCTAAACTCAAACTCAGTCTCTTAACACCAACATGACTTCACTTAATTATCAGTAAGATACTTAATATACTGACATTGTCACTTACACACAGCAATTTCTGTAATATTTTATTTATTTACTTTTTTACCTCTATTGCTGCTATGTAACTACCCTGTACAGCCTGTTTGCACATTCTTCTCTTGTACATTCCTGCTCATTTTAATATTTATTAAGTCTACAGTATATGTTATACCTACAGTTTTATCTTATTCTTATTTTTTTATCTTACTTTTTCCATACCTATATTTATATATAATTTTCTTGTGTTTGTATTCTTTAATAATTGCACTGTCCATGGAGCAGACCTGACTTACATTTCACTGCTGGTCATATATTCTTTATATAACCATGTATGTGACAAATAAAAAATCTTGAATCTTGAACTTTTATTTGTGCATATTGTGCTTAGGAATGTTTCACAATGATAGTAGTATCAGTGGTCCAACTCAAGAGTATTGGTAATATATCACACACTTAATAAGAGATTAAACATGAGATGAGATCAGTGAAACTAGTTCATGATCGTCTTGACATCACAAACACCAGTTTTATCTAATTATAGATTTTTCTTGCTATAAAAACTGTGTTAAAGGGGTCATATGATGGTTTTTTAAAGATCATTAAAAGACAGCTAACTTAAACCAATCAAATAAAAACTATTTTTAAAAAGTCAAGAGCCCAACTAAAGCAAACACCGATCGCCATTATGGTGACTTCAAATGAAAGTACAACACCTACAATCTCAATAAGAGCTTTTGTACACATATGACAGAAACAAAGTCACACTGGTTAGTAATAAGAAGCTGATGATGCTGTTTGTGGAGCTGTTTAATCCTCCTCTGCTGAGATCTTGATCAATTTAATGTGTTTTATTTTCAGTTGATTTCATCTTTGGCTTTTGCTGTAAGTTGTGTTTCTCTGCTCTTGTTTCTCTTTCCTTCAGTGATTCTGCTTGTTAACAGGTGTTCATCACTAATGCTCAATCCTCATTTAATTATCTCATTAACTTCATCACCACTTCAGTGTCACTTCAACACTCTGTAGTGTGGACACATATATGTGCTTTTTAAAACTGAGGATTTTGCTGTGGGATTAAAGGGGTTAAATGTGTGAGATGAAAAAAAAACACTGTGAAATGTATTTTTAACAGAAATATACTGTTAATTTAATTTACGAATGCAAACTGTAAACAACTGTAGATTACTGGCAACCACAGCTGCCGGTATTTCACAGTAAAATCAAGAAAAGAAAACAGCAAAATACTGTAAAACCTAACAGTCAACTTCCTGTTGTGTTTTGTGGGTCACCATTGTGCTGGAGAGCAGAGCCAGTGTGTTTAAGTAAAGGACAGACAGCAAAACACTGATGTTATACTGCTTATTGTTTTGTTTAAAGTCAGTAACTGTGCAGTTACTGATGCAATGTGAATCTCTTTAATAATTGCAATCACACATGAAAGTGTGTTGCTGTTATCTGCAAGAGATTTGAGTTGAATTGATGCTTTTAATGACTTTGCATAAATCAGTCTTTTTTTTTCCGTGGACTTAAACAGCTAAATAGTTCTGGAGACAAATATGCTTGCGTTACTTAAGCATTATAAATGTTAGTTTACAAACAAATGCCAATTGGTCAAATTAAGTGCAGTCGGTTTCTGCAAATAAAATTAGTTAGCTCAAAGGTTTGCATATTAACATTGTGTCAGTTAATGAAATACAGTTTTTCACTGTAAATTTAAACAGTTCTGTAAAACCTAAAATGTTGCTACCGTATTTTTCATGGTAAAGTTCATAGCTGCTGGTATTTTACCATAAATTTAACAGATTTTTTTTACAGTGCAGGGATAAAAAGCACCCCATGCCCACAGTTAAATATACTGCTGGATCTTTAATGTTGTGGGTCTGCTTTTCTGCCGGAGGTCCTGGACATCTTGTATTTTTCATGGTAAAGTTCATAGCTGCCGGTATTTTACCATAAATTTAACAGATTTTTTTTACAGTGCAGGGATAAAAAGCACCCCATGCCCACAGTTAAATATACTGCTGGATCTTTAATGTTGTGGGTCTGCTTTTCTGCCGGAGGTCCTGGACATCTTGTATTTTTCATGGTAAAGTTCATAGCTGCCAGTATTTTACCATAAATTTAACAGATTTTTTTTACAGTGCAGGGATAAAAAGCACCCCATGCCCACAGTTAAATATACTGCTGGATCTTTAATGTTGTGGGTCTGCTTTTCTGCCGGAGGTCCTGG